TGCCCAGACTGGCCGGGGGCGGCCTAGTTGTTAGTGTGCCCAGACTGGCCCTGGGCGGCCTAGTTGTTAGTGTGCCCAGACTGAATCAGAAGAATCGTTGTTCGCTTATTATTGCCGCAAAAACATTTACGCGGTTTGGAACTGTGGTTGCGCAATAAAAAAGACGTTCACGTCCCATAATTGCACCACATAAGAGTAGCCCAAGGGTTGGCGATGGGTGCTGATGACTAACTATCTTCTCTCTAGTCTGTCAGCTCAGTAGTAAGAAAAGGAGACGAAAATCATGAGGAATGTAACAATGGAATATCATTAAAATTCGTAAATTTACCACCATCTTTCAAGTAATCATTATTTTCTAAATCTGAATATTTCATACGTTGATTATCCTGTTCGGAAATAGTCTGAAATGATGTTTTTTTTACATATTGTTCAGAACGCGCTATGAATGAATTAGAAGGAGGGTGGTATAAAACTATTGAAATTAAACATGATTTTCATTACATTCTTTACCAAACGTAATGAGCTACATTGCTAAGTCAGCAGTCTACAGGTTTTTATGCCATGGCATTGAGTTATTGTAATGCTGTAACACACATAGAAAGTAATTCACTAGCTTTACGTTGCCGTATGTACAGTCCAGCTGATCAATTACTTGCGTGGACGAAGACCCTCCTGAGTAGTGGCTTGCAATAGACAAACGATGTATTTGAAACGTCATGTTTACACACCTTTAACTTGAAATACGCAATGATATAATTAAGAGGAATGTGAAAAAAAAGAACATCTATACTCAAGTGTGATTTTATCATGTCTGTTTGCCCTAAAGTGTTTAATAAAACGTTACGGAAAGCTTAGTTTGTTTTGTTTTAGCGTAAACTGCACAAATATCTGTGCTGTGTGTCGAATTTCAGCGTTATACGAGCTCAAGGATATTGAGCCTATGAAATGAATTATAACTTTTAATCAGTGCCCGAAACGTAGTGCAATATTATCTGCTGAGTATGAATAAGTCACTTCACATTCTCCGTTCTCTCTCTGTCCGTGGGCATTTTTATTCAGAAGATTTTGTGAACATTTCTAATTTCGAAAAGAATAAAACACGTTTATAACATATTTCCCAATCATTCTGAAATAAATCATTTTCAAAGCACATTTAATTGGCACAGTACATGAATATATATACGGTGTTGAAAAATAATTATGGGAACATCCTGATGATACAAATACAGGAGTCACAAACAAAGAGTAATTGTAATTAAATGGTTAATTTGTAATTATTACATTACGTTATTACAGAAAACACTATAGAAAAGCGAATAAATTGTTCGATGCATTAGTATTTAGTGTTTCCTTTAAACAGATCAGTGTACCTTATATTATGCTACCGTAAGGTTATTAATGTATAAGTGTGAAATATAATTCCAAGTGT